GCTTAACCCAAAGCACACACACGTCTGGTCGAACAATTAAACGTTAGTTTAAAACAGGGACGTGAACGGGATGAAAAATTTGGTCGGTTCGGTTCAGCGGTTCCAACCGGTTTTGCACTTTTGGATTGGTTCGTCAAAGCGGTTTTTTGATCTTTGAACCGGGGTTTCGGTTCGGTTCGACGGTTCGGAAATCAAAAAAATAACGCGCGTTTTATGTCAAGTGTCAAGTGCAACAACGCGCAAGGATAAGTGTCAAGTGTCTGTCTAATAAGATGGTTCATTAATTTCGATATGGCCACATGGATAAATGACCATATTTAACAAAAAGAAAAAAAATTGGTTGAATACGGTTCGGTTAATGGTTCAATTAATTATTGGAAAAAAGCGGTTTTCCAGTTCAAAACCGGTTCGGTTCACGTCCCTGGTTCAAAATAAAGATTTCAAATTTTCAGATACAGATTTATGAATAAATTCGTTTTGAAATATGGACCTTTTTGTAAAAAATACTGTGGTCAGCGAAGCCGGAGCTGGGCAGATTAGGGTTATTTTTTCTAAGCGCTGTCGAAAACCTATAACGTGCAAAGAAAGGTATTTTGCAAAAAAATCCTGTGGTTGACGTATCCCGAGTTTACATTTTCTCTGTCAAAATGCTAATTTTACCACCCGAAAATCATTGCACAAATAACCTAACATTTCCCCTTTTCTTTTTGAAAAAGAAGAGGTTTAATGCTCAATAAGTTGATTATTGTGTTTCTAGTTTTCATACTAACACACCCCCTCCAATATTGAACAGTAAAATATATTTACTTTTACCCAAAGAAATAACGATATTGTCGAAATATATTAGAATTGGATAATACTCACTTCTCTGAAAGTGAAGCCTATGGGTCCCAAAGTAAATTCCGTTTTCAAGTTACTTGATAGGCATGGACAAAGACAATATCGAAATGTGTAATTGCACACGGTGGGCAGGAAGCGAAGATAGGTTGCATAAAAATGTCGACAAAATCTGAAAGCAGGGTTGTATTTGTTGATATCTTAAGGTTAAGAATCCGCTTAAATTGAAATCCTAGCTGCTCCTGTTTTAAAGATATCCACATTTTATATACTTCTGATAGGATATATTTGCAAAAGAGGAAGGCGTACTTCTCGATAATTAGAGCATATTTATACGAAAAGAAATCTCATACAAATCTGTTCCCCTTTTTTAACTCACTAAAACGGATCAAATCAATGTGAAACATTTTCATTT